TAGCATTTTGGGGAGGTTGCTTATCTGGCTTTAGTTCAGTCGCCTGGGTGGGGTTGTGCTTCGCCAGATCAATTGGAGGAGGGACAGGCACTTGCTGTGTAGGAATACGACTGGAGTTCAGTTCTAATTCCTGAACGGCTACCGAAGTATGGAAGGCGATATGAGAGACTTTAAAAACGCAAAACTTTGTGCGAGCGCTGGCAGCCGGCCTGTTGAACATCCTGGTGCACGGGGCAACATTTCCGTATGCCCAGTGACAAGGGACACCCTTGAAATTAGGGGCACACACCCTCGTGCACGAATGGCGTGCAAACTGAGGCACTAAAAACGCAAATCTTATAAGTACTATAAGGATTAATTAATCCAATCGCACCGAACGAAATTCATAACCTATACGCCGACCTGACGCACCCAGAATGCGGATGTCTTTAGAGCCCCCACTGCACGAAAGACGCTGTGCGTTTCAGTTTGCGTTTCAGGGATCAAGATACGAATTGTCCGGGTACCCGCAGACACCTGTGTCGTTTTGAAAACATTTGCATGGATAGGGAGACTAAGTTAAAAACCAAAGTTTTAGAAGAAACTGTATGTCCGTTGGAAGGCATTTCAAAAACCTACAGGGTATTTTTTCCATTATTATACGCAGTTTTCGCTCCGACCCACATGGCCTTCACACCTCGCTCACGCCACTGAGGCCTCAAGCAAAAGACCGACTTCAGGATCAAGGCACGCAGATCAGTCTCAATGGTAAGTTAAAATTTTTGTCGGAGGTTGATGACCTTGTCCTGAAGCGCATACCCACGTCATTAAGTGAGGCCTTGATGGAGTTAGTCAAGAAATAACCCTTCGATGTAAAACAATATTCCCGAATGGTCTAGAAAGAATATGGCGAGTCCGCGCGAGCATTCTTCCACTCAGATAAATCATTTTAACTGAAATACGCATAACTTCCCTTAGATAATCGCTCCTTTGGCCTAGCTTAATGGGCCAGCGTTAACTTTGGGCAACCTGGATAAATAACTTTCTTTAACTGGGTCACTCTGACGACACTTACTTGCTCAACCTGTTGTGCCCAGGAACGTAAATGTTGACACCGCCTGTTTGTCACAGCACTTAACAGACCGTGATACGATAGGCCTATGTTCTTCTGATGTTGTTTTATATCTGTCTACACAAATTCATCTTCTTAATGATAGAGATTGGGGTCCCACAAGGCTCGGAGCTCGGACTAACCCTCTTCCTCTTGTTCATCAATGATTGTGTAGATGGGTTGGACTGTGGTTGTGCCATGTTTGCGGACGACATAAAAATCTGGAAAGTCATCCAGAACGCTGCCGATGAGACCAACTTCCAAGAAAATCTTTGTCGATTGGACGAGTGGTCCCGCAGATGGCTCTTGTCCTTCAATTTGAACAAATGCACCATTCTGCGCCTCGGAAATCAGACCCCTAGTACGCGGCAATACCATCTGAACGGAATGCCACTCCGAGAAGCAGAAACTCAGAAAGATCTCGGAGTTTGGGTTGCAGACAGCCTTAAGCCTTCTACACAATGCTGTAAGGCGGCCAAGGCCGCAACCTCAATGCTATATGCCATCAAGCGGGCATTCGTAGTTTTCGATAAAGACTGCTTTACAAAAGTCTTCTGCACGTTTATAAGGCCCCATCTCGAATATGCTATTCAGGCCTGGAGACCGTGGGCGCATCAGGATTACGATCTGCTCGAAAGGGTGCAGAGACGAGCAACAAAATTAATAAGAGGTCAAAGTGCACTGCCATACCAGATCCGCTTAACTAACCTTAATCTCTATCCTCTGAGTTATAGGCAGTTGCGCGGAGACATGATACAAACTTTCCGTATCGTGCGCGGCTTGGATTGTGCCCTTCGGCGCGATGACTTCTTCCAACTTGCCATTACAACTCACCTCCGGGGACATCCCTTCAAGCTACGTGTGCCACAGGGTAGACTGAATGTGAGAAAATATTTCTTCTCCAACCGTGTCGTGGAACCGTGGATTAACCTGACCGAGACGGTTGTTATGTCTCAATCTGTGGAGACATTTAAATGTCGCCTTGACAGATATATGCTGCAGCAACAAGCGGACGATATGACTTTTTAGCCATGTGACCAGTGACATATGTGAATCATTGTATGCATTAACTTAATGCTGTAATATCTTCACATTTTTGCATGTCTATCGATTTTTTTATGTACAAATAGGGAGTTCAAAGGCGTAAGCCCATTTCCCTCAAATACACTGACTGAATGAATTTAAGTTACTCGAGGTGTAAGAAGCCATAATAGCCGAATTACTCTTTTTCAACAGAATGGATTTTAGAGGTTCAGTTATGCCCTCAATATGCCTATTTTGTCGTCCATGAAAAATATATAATTACAGCTGATATCGCCGGAGCACCACAAGCAAGCTCATTAAGCGTGACATCTGGATATATTATGCCGCGACCAAAGCACCTAACCTCAGTGTTCCTTCGACGTCGTTGATGGTGGCAGATGAAACGCCGGAACGGTAAATACCATTTTTGGATCCATAAGTTGCTGCGGGCAAGTTTTCCACGTATGCAAATTAATCAATGGTTGCATAGTCCGCTGGCGTTGGGGAAAACACGGACACATTGAGAGGCAGAGGTCGTCTATTGAATTTGAACAATTCTGCTCGAAGGCACAAATGTTCCTCTCTAAAATGAAGTTAACCTGCATGCTGCGACTCTACAGTCCAGATGCACCCAGGAACTTTCTGATGCCAGCGCATTATCAATCGTTTTACCAAATTTATTCCCTTCAGCCTTTGACATGGTCTGGTCGCTGAACTGCTACGTCAGTCGTCAATGTTAACTGCAATAGTGCGCGCTCAGCTGCATTCAAACAGATGAAGTCGTTGATATTGTTTGAGCAGTGTCTTTGGCCAACCAAGAGTGTACCTCCCCACGTATTTTGCTCTTTCTAACGAGAACTTTTATCGCTTACTTCCCATTTTTTGTTTGTCTCGAAAAATTACGGCCTTCTGTTTATTCTCAACCCTCGTGCTATTTGTTAGAACCTCCCGTCTTCCCCCGCGTAACCTGATACTATCTTTTTGACTATACGCCACATTTTTCTGACTCCATGCCACACCGTTCTGACTGTACGCCTCGAGACATTTTGTAGTAAGCGCTGTGTTTAAATTTTGATAATCATGCCGCATTATAGACTCATGTTTTCGTCTAAATCTGCTTGCTCACACCGTTTACACGTACGGGCGGCACAAAGTATGCCAACTGAGGTGAATTAATCTAGGCAGGCTATAAAGTAGCTAGTTTAAACAGACTCGGTGAGGGTTACGCGAACGGCCCAACAGTCGGCGGTTTCGTGTACTCCACAACGGTCTGACTCAGTCCAGAATAATTTAGTATGCATAAGCAAGACAGGCAGAACCTGTGAGGATCCCACTTACGGACATAGGTTAAAAAGTAACGTGTTCAGCTTTACATATATATATAGGTATATGATAGCAGTTCTTTTCAAGTCACATCTATCATGTAAGTCATTTTAAGTTAATTTAAATTAGATCATCAAGGGAATACGGCTTTCACCCCTGACCTGCATATTTATATCGAAAAACAGCAGCAGAATCAATTGTTGCATCAATAAATCTGGAAATTCAACATTTCACGGTAAGTCCGAGCCAGGCGCGAACTGCCTCCACTAAAACAATCGGGATTATATGTGCAGCAGTTTCTCAGAAAAGGAGTGTCTAGTTTGCTCTTAAAGGGTTCAGCGGTTTTGGAAAGAGCCAACGCATCAGGGAGTCCGTTCCATGCTTTCTTGCTCCATGCTCCAGTCCTCTGGGAGAAGGCGTTCCGTCAGACGTCCGCATGGACTATCTTCCTCAGCAGTTTGAAGGGATGACTACGCAGGCGGTCCGCCCCAGCCAATTCGAGGAATTCGTCAAAGTCTTGGGCACACTGACAGCCTCTGAAATTCCGGTAGGTTTAACTGAGAACGCCGCGTACTTGCCTGTGACTGAGAGGAAACAAATTATGTGCGGCTAGTCTGGTTTCACAGTGCAGATGATCTATATTATTAACGACTTCCGTAGCCATCGCTTGTACTCTTTCCATCTCCTGATAAGCCCCCTTGAACGACGGTCGGCAGGCCTAAACTGCATACTCCAAGTGAGACCGAACGAATGCCCCGAAGGTTTTTCCGAACAGTTCCTTATCGATCTGCACAAATCCTCTCCTCACTGAAAATAGCACCCATATCGCCCGATCAGCTGCCCTTTGATACTGTCACGGTAGTTTAAGGGAGAAGGCCATTACGACGCCGAGGTCCTTCTGTTTCTCAGCATTTGAAAGGAGCTGCCCGTCAAGTAGGCATTAAAAGGAATCATCCTCCCTACCAGTTTTTCTGTTGCGGAGTCTCAGGACCATACACTGAGGAGCCAACGAGCTAACCAACTGCTCATTCGGTTGAGACTCTCTTGAAGCCCTACCTGTCTGCGTCGGCCCTGACGGCTCTCCGCAGCTTAACATCGTCAGCAAACTTGACGGCGTTGCGAGCCCTACTTTTTTTACTGGGAAGATATTTGCTGTTTTTCCTTCGGATGGCAGCCTCTCTAATTCGAAAGACGAATTGGAGGTGCGTTCTAGTGGATTAGAATTCATTTGCCAATTCATTCAAGAATTAAATCTGTTTATTGTCCGAACCTGACGACTTTACTTCCTTTTGATTTTGTAGCTCTCTTTCCGCTAAAGATGTGAGAAAGAGTATGGATTAAAGCACAGGAGCAGCGGTTTCAAATGCATTGCTGACATTGTGACTGAGAAACTTCGTTGCGTTAGTGAACACCGAGGCAAAGTACCGTTCACGATGGTTTATACACCATCATCATCCTCCACTTCTGCGACGGGTCCTTGCGTTTTAGTCTACTGTTAATATAGCGAAGTAAAATTTTGGGTTTTTGGTCAGCCAGTCGGATAATTATGAAATCATACCCTTAAATGGAATTGCTCTACTCTTCTTTTGGGTCGGAGTCTGATTCAGTTTTGGAGTCTCGCCGTTCTGAAGCCCAGCCACGGGTGACTTAACTGTAGAGCTTGCAGCACCTTGTTGAACAGGAGTTATCGGTCTAAATGATGTAGACGGATTTTCATGTGTCCCAAAGGGGCTATCCGGAGGATACGAAAGGACAAATGGGGCTGCTGCTGCTGCTGCTGCTGCTGCTGCTGCTGCTGCTGCTGCTGCTGCTGCTGCTGCTGCTGCTGCTGCTGCTGCTGCTGCTGCTAGTTAAGGGGCAGGCAAATGCGTCAAGTTGCCTGAGTGAGATGTAGATGTAGGAGTAAGGGGAAGAAGGGAGTCAGATTTCGCAGAAGTAGGACAAGCTGAATCCTCACGACCACTTGTATTATGACCGAGTTTGTGAGCATTCGACTGAGCAGCAGTGGGTTTACGTGAGAAGAGGGACCCAATTCGACGCTCCATAGAAGTAAGATCATGAAAGAGGAAAAATTTCGCATTTTCCAGGTACGCAGTAACACGATCTCGATGGGCAAAGATTGTGTCAACCGCGATTGATGAAAATAATTTGACTAAGGCGGGCCGATTTCTGCTACGGGAGGAGAAGCGTATAGAATCGGCCACTTTGTAGTTAAAACCACACGAATACGAGAAAGTAGTCGCAGCGTCAACTGGCCGAGCAGATCGAGGAAAATTATTCAACAAAGAGTTGTAAGCACGCCTTTGTCTATCACTAGATTCACTGCGCATCAGGTGAACAAGTGAGTTAAGAGGTCTACATTCTTCAAAGGGAAGATCGGAGACATTCTCGTCGAGTAATTTTCCAAGAATTGAGAGCAATTTGCCAAACTTTAGTATAAAATGATCGCAGACAGATTAAGCTGCCTACCAGTTACAACGGGTGACGAATGACTAGTAATACCTTCGGACTTAGATTTAGTTACCCCTTCTGACTTAGATTTAATTAAACCACGCTTACGTACAGAGGTCAAGGGCTTTCGCCGACCTGTAACTTTTACTCTCATCTTGTCTCGATGCAAGTTGTAATTAAGAAAACTTCTGACAGAACAGGTGACTGAATTGCAGCTAGAGGCTAACGATGTAGAAACAAATTACACAGTTAGAGAGAAATCGAATACACAAAATACGAATTGCAGAATGCGACTGGAGCTTAACAGGCACAGACCAGCAGAACTCAAAAAGGAAATGACAGCCGGTAGTTCTGGCTGAATAGGCCTGTGTTTAAGGGAATTCAACCTAAAACAGGGGCTTAAGTTTTTAGGTCTCTCAGAAAAGCCACTTAAAATAATACCTTCGACTTATCTTCAAATGTAAAACCAGCGGCTGGACCTAACGAAGAACAGGAATCTCTGAAGGAAATATGTCAAATGTAACCGATCTGAACATCTTTCTGAATATAATGCGAATAAATAAGTAAATGAATTTATTACGTACCCCTAGGGTACCAGCATAGAACGTAAAATAAAATTACAACTGAATTTAAGAACGAGTAGACATAGTCTGTACAGCCTTCACTTCGTGCTTGTGAAAAACGGTCAGCCAGCAGCGTAACAACTCCCCCTTTCCAACAATACAAAATGAATTTGATTTGATTAGCTTTTAAGCGAAACAATGTCGCTCATATAAGTGTAAATAAGCGGGTCGGACAGAACTTACCGGCATATGATAGTGCCGAAGGGAGTCGAAGTGGGCATAAAAACAGAGTTCCTAAACCGGATTAGGATATCCGCGTCAAAGTGGCGAGGTCAAGGTCAAGCCGCTGGTTTGAAATTTCAGGATAAGTAAAGCATATTATTTTAAGTGTTTTTTCTGTGAGACCTAACGATGTTAGCCCCTGTTTTTTGGTTAAATTTCCTTAAATACAGGACTATTCACTCAGAACAGCCTGTTGCCATCTCCTTTCTGAGTTCTGCTAGTCTGTGCCTGTTGATCACCAGTCGCACTCTGCAATTCGCATTTGCATTCGACTTTACTCTTACGGTGTAATTTATTTTAACATCGTTAATCTCCAGCTGAAATTCATTTACCTTGTCCGCCAGAAGTTTTCTTGATCACACCTTGCCTCGAGACAAGATGAGAGCAAAAACCAGAGGTCGGCGTAAGCTCTCGGACTCTGTACGTAAACATGGTTTAACTAAGTGTAAGTCAGAAGGTATTACTAGTCATAAGTCACCCGTCGTAACTGATAGGCAGCTTAATCTGTCTGCAATCATACTATACTACAGTTTGGCAATCTGCTCTCAATTCTTGAAAAATTATTCGAAGAGAAAGTCTCCCATATCCACTCTGAATAATGTAGACCTCTTGACTCATTTGTCCACCTGATCTGCAGTGAATCTAGTGATAGAAAAAGGCGTGCTTAAAACATTTTGTTGAATAATGTTCATCAATCTGCTCGGCCAGTTGACGCTGCGACTAATTTCTCGTATTTGTATGGTTTCAACTACAAAATAGGCAATGCTATACGCTTTCCAAACAATGGGAGTTCCCTCATAGCAAGTAAAAATAAATTTTCACATGAATTTTAGAACAGGTAGACAGAATCTGTACAAAATGCAATTCATAGTTTCTGAATTAGTAGTCCGTTAAGAAGAATGATGAGCAATAAGTGAAAAAAACTCCGATCAAGAATTTGAAAAATGACAGTGGTCCGTTGTTAACATCTTCCGTCATTGGTCGTCCTCTAAGCGTGATCACGAACTTTCACTTCTGCTAAATGATAACAAAGTCTTCCTCATGGATGTTACTGACAAGGCGGAGTTGTTTATTGCTTTCTTTGCAAAACACCTTAATATTGAGTCCGAACCGGCCCCTTTCTTTCGCTCCCTTTCAGATAGGACATTGAGTACAATCGACGCCTCCTCAGATCTCATTAAGAAACATATAAGTCGTCTGAAAAACTCACACTGCTCAGGAACAGACGGCATTCCGAATTCGATTATTAAACAAGCATCCGACCTTCCCATATTGCTTAGTCATTTATTCTCGGTTTATATTTCAAAAAGAATTCTTTCCTGAAACACGGAAAACGTCAGTTATCATCCCCATCTTCAAGTCAGGATCTCGGTCCGATGTTAATAACTACCGGGGCATGCACAAAACGCCGTCTCTAGCAAAGCTTCGTGAAAGGATAATTTTCGATGAAATTCTTGACTTCTGTCCAGCTAATCGGCTTCTGAGCTGTACATAACATGGATTTTTACCTGAACGATCCTACGAAACTTGCCATTTGGCATTTCGTAATCTAATCACTTCTTTTCGTAATGAGCGGCGGTCAGTGGTAGTTATCTACTTTGATCTTAGAAAAGCCTTCGGACAAGGCGCCCCATAGACGTTTTTCGGTAAAATTGGAAGCTCTCGGCATCCGGCCGCCTCTACTTGACTTCATCAGGTCCTATCTGTCCAACCGATATCAGAAAGTCATGGTCGGTAATAGATACTCAACAACTCACTCGATCACGAGTGGCGTACTTTAAGGTACGGTTCTGGGCCCGCTACTCTTCCTTCTTTACATCAATGATATTTCGACTGAACTCGGAACTCTAACGCTTATTTCCACCAATGACCTCAAGTGTTCAGAAGATGAAGATGCGATCACTGGAACAGTTCCAGTGATCGCATCTTCATCTTCTGAACTGCTACCTGGGACTCGCCTGTTCGCTTCTATCAGCGACCTCAAGTGTGTTTACCCATACTCTAAGGACACCGCAAACATTTGTGTTGAAAAAATTAATGCCGATTTCCTGCGCTAAAGCATATGGGGTTCAGCATGGCAGATGGAGTTTTCATCATCCAAGTGTAGTTCCATGTCCTTTGGTCCTGCCAAAATTCCTGGTCGCATAATTTTTCAGAATAACTCACTCGCAGAATGCTTCACCATAAAGGACCTAGGTCAAAGTTATACAAATAGTTATACAAGTAAGCTTGCTTTATCACCTCATGCAGATAGGATCTCTGCCAAAGCCGCACATATATGTGGATTTATATCGCATAATTTTTTCCTTCCGGAAATGAAGCTAAGACTTTATCAAATATTTGTTCTTCCAGTCCTCGAATACTGCTGTCCTTTCTTGGGTTTAATGAACGCGTTCAACCTAAGTAAAATCGAAAATGTTCAGAGGATTTTCCCTCGGAAACTATTCTCTCAATCTTCGTGCAGTATTTCTTATACTCAGAGATGTCAGCTGACGAAAATTAAGTTTTTATGGTTTAGAAGACTCGAAGTTGGCCTTTGCATTTTTTTTCGCATCACCTCTAGCACCAATCTTCCGCTCATTGACCCTATCACTCCGTGAGATCGGTCTTATGCCACGCGCAACTCCTGCATGGTGATTCCCCCGCCTCTTTGTACTACATCTAAGCGCTCCCTCTTCTATGCTTCAAAATATGACTTCCTTTGGAATAATCTTCCGCCTGAAATTAGATTATCGCCTAAGTTACTGGTATTCAAGTCGAAATGACACAAACACATTACACCGGAAAGCATAAAGGCACTGTTAACGGTCTCGTTCCCGAACACTCAGCTTTTTGACTTTGAGAAGGGTCCTCCTGGGATTTAGCGGTAGATCACGTGCTAACCCTCAACTATATCATTAGAAATCCTTGTTTTAAACTGGTTACTAAATCCACTGCTACCACCTCTCCCATATAGCAATGATTTTCGCGGTTTTTGATGTCGTCTCCCGCATTTCGACCTCATGCGGTCTGTCGACGCGCACGGCGGAACCCTCAGTATTCGCCGTCTACTAGTAGTTCGGTCGTACCTCCCTTCCCTCCTCCTCGGCGGGCTCGAAGCGTACTGTGGCCGATCGCGTCTGGGTTCCTCTCGTCTCGCCACTTTGACGCGAATAGTCTCATTCGGTATATCAATTCTGCCCCGACGATGTCCGTTTTATGTCCCTTATACAATACCTCATGCGGGCCAGTCCTGTCAGACTCGTATACGTACTTCTCAACGCTGACATTCATCTCTTCCCTGACGATGCCTGATTATAATCCGTTATACACCGCAACATGCAGGTCAGTCCTGCCCGCATTTTTTCGTCTTAGGTACGACAGTTTTTTCTCCTGTAAAATCAATGCTGGCATTTTTTAAATTCTTGATCGGAGTTTTCTTCACTTCTTGCTCATCATTCTTCTTAACGGACTACTAATTCAGAAACTATGAATTGCATTTTGTACAGATTCTGTCTAACTGTTCTAAAATTCATACGAAAATTCATTTTTCCTTGCTATGAAGGGACTCCCATTGTT